TTACATCTCAAAGGCACAGAAAGAGAAATACAAATTCCTCCTTGAAAGGTTCAAACAAAACCCAATCATCTTGGCTATTTCCAGGGATTTTTTCTAGTTTCCAAATATCCAATACAGTTTAAAGAAATAACAATAATAGACAATAATAAACATACACACACACACACACACACACACACACATAATTTACTCACATTCAGATGCCTCATTTTCAACAAAGCTAGGAAGAGAGAACAGGATTTGGACTCAAGTACCAAGATACACACGCGCGCGCGCGCACACACACACACACACCCACCCAAGATAAAAGCCAAAATGCAAAAGGCCCACTTTGATATAATATCAGAACCATTGGATCATTGTTCTCCAGATCTCAAAGAGTAACTGAGGTCACACAGTGTTACTGTAAAAATATCATTTTCTTTCATTTATGGAAGCATAGCTGAAGATCTCTCAGTTTTACAAAGTATACTCCAGGAGGATTATATATAAGATGGAGTGGAGCTCTGATCATCCATACTTGATTATTCATGGCGGATGTTATCAAATGTCAAGCAAACAACAATTCAAAACGGTCTCTCAGGGTCACAGTTCCCTAGCCCTAAAAGAGAAATTCCTAATCAATGCCCCATCAATCCAAAAGGGGAGAGCCCAACCAATGCCCCATCAGAGATGAAGCTGAAGGAAAGAACAAGGCTAAAAGGGAAAATCGCGACCAAGTTTCCGCCACAGGCAAGGCCGGCACAATAGGGAAGGACACCCTGGTATCATCACACATGAGTCCCGTTACTTAAAGATGTCTCAACCAGCCAGTGCAAGTTCTGACACACACACATACAAACAACAAACATTGTCCCACAAAGAAAAGATCAGATAAAATGTGGCCCAAAATTTCCACTTCCACTCCCAGAAGGAGGCCTCCAAACACACTGGCCCAGCTCTCAAAACAGAACGGAACCAGACTGGCTCCCAGTGAGCCCGAATGGCACATTCCCTGCAAGGGAAGGCGCCTAGATGGAGCAGGTGGAATGTTCCCACCCTCCGCAATCAGAGTGGCCCACCCCAGAACCACACACACAAAAACACAAGCAACAAATAAGCTACCGTCACACAGACAGACATCAAGGAGGCGTAGTTTAAGAACTCCACTTTCACTCCCAACCAGAGGTCTCCAAACAGATGGGCCCAGCTCCCAAAGACAATGGACCCAGAGTGACTCACAGTGAGCCCAGAGCAGCTCTCTCCCCAGTGGGAATAGGCCCAGATAGAATGGAGAGAATTCCCAGTCTGTGCAAGCTGGAGCAACTCACCCCCAGGAGACTCTGAATGTTTCTTGGCTCCAAACAGCCTCATGCCGTAGGGCTGCCGGTGCCTGTCGGGGAGAGTCCCTTCTGGTTTCCTGGAGCTAAGAGTGAGCTCTGGCAGCTGCTGGAACGGAGGGAAGGGGCTGCCCCTGGCCAGGGTCAACCTCCCACAGGCACAGACTCCTGCGCTGACTTGCCAGAATTGTTGCCAAAAGCAGGTTCTTGTGCCCACCATACCTTGAGGCCAAACAAACTGAAACATGAGTCTGGAGCAGAGAAATGTTTATTGCGGGACCCAGCAAGGAAGACAGGGTGACTCATGCCTGAGAGAATCCTGAACTCCTCGAAGAGTTTCAGCAGAGCTTATTTAAAAGCCTGGCAAGGGGGAGGGGGGGTCACAGGATATGTGATGAGCTTGTGCACAGTTTTCTGATTGGTTGATATTGAGGTAACAGGGTGGTCAACACTATCAACCCCGAGGCACCAGAAGATCTGGGGGCCACATGCTCTCAATCATCAAGTAGTTAATTTCTTCCCTTTGGTGGTGGTTTTAGCATCTGAAAAACTCAGGAAGTAGACGTGAGATACTATTATCTTGGTGCTTTAGAGAGGAGCTACAGCAGAGGGTATGGGGAGGGGTCTGATCCCGGAAGGCCCCACAGGGTCCTGCTCAGTTAAATCTTAGTATCTTGATACAAATTCTTTTGACCTTGCAGCCTCCCTGAAAGGTTCTCAAGAATCCTTAGGAGTCTTCGGACCAGACCAGCCAGAGGAGAAACACTTGTCTCCACTGAGAGGCTCTGAATGATGATGGAGGTCCATTGGTAAATTCCAAAAAATGCTATTTAAGTAAGAATTTTTTTGTTACCTTTATCTCTTCTGTGTCCTCAGCTTCCAACCCTCGGAGGGTTGGAAACACAGGTAATCAATGTGGAAAAGGAAAGATAGAAAAAGCGGAAAGAGAAGCACCCCTCCAGTCACCTCTCTCCCAGTGGAATCCTTCCTGCCAGCAACAGTACCGGGGGGTGGGGGGAACCCCAGCTTTAAGACTGAGCCTGTAAGCACAGCATTTTCCAGAGGCCCTTTTGTTGTCTAAAGTGATCAGATAAGAAATGGTGGCTGCCTGAATTGTCATTCAGGGGTGGAGAAGAAAAATAACGCCCCCTCCCCGAGAATAAATTCTAAGGCATAACGAGTAGAAATAAAAACAAATCTGCCTGATCAGCATTTTGGTTGAGTACTCTTTAAACAAATAATTGCACAAGGAATGCACAATGAAAGAAAATCACAGGTGTTTCAGAGGTAAATAATACTGGCCCCTAATCTAGTCTTGGGAAGAGGATCTCTTTTTCTTTTTTTTAAGTTGAAGTATAGTCAGTTTACAATGTTGTGTCAATTTCTGATGTATAGTATGTTTCAGTCACGTATATATTCATTTTCATATTCTTATTCATTATAGGTTACTACAAGATATTGAATATAGTTCTCTGTACTATACAGAAGAAACATGTACATCTATTTTATATGTAGTAGTTAAGATCTGTAAATCTCAGACTGTTGGGAACAGGATCTTGATTGGAGACCAAGCTGAAAAGATGAGATGGCGGGTGGATTGGACAAGGGTTTGATCACCAGTGTGAGCTACCTGTGCTCAGCTGGCTGGGCAGGGAGGCAGACTGGAGCCATCGGAATCTGCCTTAGACAGAGTCGCTTTTCTCCTTTGCATAAGCCATTCATAACCAAGAGGGTCTTAACAGACAATCTGTTTAAAAGCTTTTATCTTTTTCTCTGGGAATATTTCTGAGATTTTCAACACTATAAAATTTGTCTTTCTTCGCACCTTTCAGATATGGGGCTCATTGTCTCCAGTTCTGCTCATGGCAAACCTTGTAGGATATGATAAATGCTGTCAGAAGGAAAATTGACTTTGTGTGGGGTTACACCTGGGAAAGGTGGCCTCTAATCATATTGACAGATTGCTTTCTTCTGTTTTTCCTTCCCTCTGACTCTGTCCTCTCCCTCCCTGGCCCGGGTTCCTGCTTGTCCCCTCCCTACTACACCCTTTGTTCACCTCACCTGCCTTATTAGCCCAGGAGGTACAGGGGGTGGAGGGCATGGCAGACTCACCAGAGCTGCTTCAGGGACTATCAGCTCAGAAGACAAACAGGCAAGATGCAAGCAAAATTAGAGGCTTTGAGAGAGTCAGATCATGGGCTGTACTTGCTTCCTTCAATGCCACCCTTCAGGAAGAAAGACTCTCTGGTTATGACCATAAGACCAGTCATAAGACTGATGGGCATAAACTCATCTTGGCTCATCTGCAGAGAAGGGTTCATGTGAAAATGACCCGAAGAGCTCAGCTTCTTAGGTCGACAAAGCTTCCTTCTTGTTTTATTGTTTGTATTTTTTTGGGGGGGAGGGTTATTCTAGGAAGAGCAACTCATTGAGAGATAAAACCATTTTAAAATTTACATATATGTACTGTTTATTGTTTCTAAGAACAATTTAGAGCTTTACAAAGCTTCCTTCTTAAACTGGTTTAGTTGTAAAGGTGTAGCTGGCCAGGAAGGTTTACTAATGGTTGTTATCTTATGCCAGGCCTTATGTATAAATCATCTCATTTAGTCCTAATGATACAGGAACATGTGGAGTGAGAGGATGGCCATGTCCCACATCTCGGGCAAGTACTTGGGACGTGCCCCGACAGGTGTGGGTCCTTGGCTTTGCACAGGAAGAATTCAAGAGTGAGCCACAGCTGAGTAAAGGTAGATTTATTCAGAGCAATGCATACTCCATAGACCGAGCACAGGCTGTCTCAGAAGGTGAGAGAAAGGCCAGGGGGTGTGGGGGCTGAGTGCTCAGTAGATACATACCCCATGGACAGAGTGCAGTCTGTCTCACTCAGAAGGGAGAGTGGCCACGAGACGGGGGGGGGGGTTGTTAGTAGTTTTTCTTTTTAACTTTTTTTAAATTGAGTTATAGTTATTTTACAATGTTGTGTCAAATTCCAGCATAGAGCACAATTTTTCTGTTATACATGAACATACGTACATTCATTGTCACATTCTCATTTGCTGTGAGCCACCACAAGATCCTGTATATATTTCCCTGTGCTATGCAGTACAATCTTGTTTATCTATTCTACATTTTGAAATCCCAGGGGGTTGTTAGTTTTTATGGCTCGGTAGCTTCAAATGCTAACAAGTGGGAGGATTTTTCCAACTACTTTGGGGGAAGGAGTGGAGATTCCCAGGAACTGGGCCATCACTCACTCTGTGACCGTTTATGATCAGCCTTAAAACTGTCCTGGCACCTGTGGGAGTGCCATTTAGCATCCTTTTGTATTACAATAAGCATATATTCAAGCTCAAGGTCTACTGGGAGTTGAATCTTCCACCATCTTGGTGCTAATTGCTGTGTCATTTTTTTTAACGGTTGTGCCCTACTCCCTTCCCTCTTGTCTCACTAAGAAAACTCTAGGAGTTAGGTTTTCTTATTCCCATAATGCAGATAAGAAAAATAATATACTGAGGCGTTGAATGACCCACCCAACCCACACTACTAGCAAATGATAGAGCTGCAGATTCAATAGATAATTTTGGTGCCAATGAATTTTACGTACTGTCCAAATGCACAATATTCCCCACTGCTTGTTGTCAGTCATTTTACTGTTCTTATTAAGGTGAACTGCTGAAAAAAGAAAAAAGAAGACACAAATGAACCCAGCTACAAACCAGAAACAAACTCCCAGACATAGTAGACAATCTTATGGTAACAGGGGGTGGCAGAGGGGAAGAGGGTGAGAAGGGATAAACTGGGAGTTCAAGATTTGCAAATATTAACTGCTGTATATAAAAATAGATAAAAAATAAATTTCATCTGTATAACACAGGGAACTATATTCAATATCTTGTAATAACCTTTAATGAAAAAGAATATGAAAATGAATATATGTATGTATATGTATGACTGAAACTTTATGCTGTATGCCAGAAATTGACACACCGTAACTGACTATGCTTCAATTAAAAAAAAGTAAAAAAATAAAAATAAAAAAGAAGAAACTGCTTAAAGAACAGGATGATCAGGTCAAGGTTTCCTTGAAGTTTATTACTCTGTTGTTGGGAATATTGCTTTTCAAGATTGTTTTTAAATTTGGCAGGTAGTAGAGGAGGAAAAGCTGGGGATGGTTATTTTTATAAATTGATTCTGAAAATTATTTTTTCCTTTTAGGAACAAGAGACACCTGTGTGTAGAAAAAAAAACTTTTTCTTCTTTATTATTCTCCCTTCTTCCCTTCCTTCCTTCCTTCCTTCCTTCCTTCCCTTCTTTCTTTTCAGATTTCTCTCAAAAAGATTTTTTTTGTATTAAAAAGTTTGAAAAGAATACAGGAAAGTAGAAATAATAATATAATGATTACTCTCGTGTATCTACACATTCTCCTTTCTAGATTATAAACAAGTTATCTCTAAAAATACTTTTCCCATTCTTTCCCATCTGCTCCCAAAAGGGAGAAATCGACTTCTGACTAAAGATTTGAATTAAGATCTGATTTCAGCTCCTTTTTGACAGACACTTAGTTTCTAATAAGATGTCTCTTCCTAAAGTTTTGAGTTCTTTTTTCCCCGTCTACTTATGTCACCTGCATTCAGGAAAGCTCCTTGGTAGCCATCTTCATAGGGATGTTTCTAGAATTAATAAGCTGAGAGAGATGCCATTTTGAGTTTCTTTAGGAAAAAAAAATTAACGTGCAGCCTATTTCTCCTGCTTCTCCTGAGAAGTATTTTTAGAGTAAGAGACTTGTATTCTCTTATGCTTCCACGCACCCCATAGGCACCACTCCGGGATTTACTGAAGGATAGAAACTAGGGCACAGTTTCTAATTGAATAGTGATAATAAGAAGAGATTCAGCACTGTTCTGAAACATGAACGTATGAAGAATAATTAGCTGATAAGAAAAATGATAAAGCCAAATTAGTTCTTCACTTATCAATCAGCAAGCAGATTCAAAGTGCCCTAAAGTTATTTCTTATACCAACATGCCTTCACTCATTTATTTTTGGCTTTGTAGCTAAATTTTAGTTATTTTCTATGATGCTACAAAAATAGCAAGAGCAAGGGTGTCCCAGCTCTACCTTTGTGAGCTGCAGGACCGTGAGCCAGCATTTCCCTTTTGTACGCCTCCCTCTCCTTGTGTGCAGCATGGAGATAATGGGGGTACTCCCTTCATTGGGCAATGTGAGGATCAAATGAAATCACTAATGCACGGAGCCTGGTTTCTTTTTTTGTTTGTTTTTGTTCTGTTTTTTTGTTTGTTTGTTTTATTGGAGCCTGGTTTCTAACAGGTGCCCAGTGAATGGCCGCCACTGCTCCAGGGCTGATCACAGGAGTTGTAACAGTTGTTTGGCATGAGAGCTTCATCACTTCTAGAAACCCACTGAATGACTCTGTGCTTTCTATCCCTGTAACTCTGGAGTCTGCAGGGTGACAGGTCCCGGTCCCCAAAGGGGCGTACTTTTGCCGAGGGCCACAGCAAGGTTCCCATTTATTACAAGGTATGGCTACTACCTGAGCAGCTTAGGCAATTCGTGTTGAGGGCAGGAAAGACTAGGTGTCAGTGCCTTGACCTGAGCATCTGGAGGACATAAACTTGCTGTTATACAGTGGGGATAGGGAGGAATATGTATGGAAGCCAAGATGGTCCACTTGGGTGTTTCCTGGTACTATCTTTCACAACTGTGGTTATAAGTGGATGGACAATAACTCCTAGCAACCCTAGGCTGTAGACTTTTTTCTCAACAATGAGGTTTTTTTTTTTTTAGAGTCAGAAAGTAGGGGAAAAGTCACAAACATTAATAATCCATTATGTCAAGCTTCTGGGGAGTAAAAATTTCCTAACCAGGAGGGATATCTCCCTTAGTTTCTGTTTTTTTTTTCAATTAAAAATAATTTTGATTGACGTATAGTCAGTTACAGTGTCAATTTCTGGTGTACAGCATAATGTTTTAGTCATACATATACATACATAAATTTGTTTTCACATTCTTTTTCATTAAAGGTTACTATCAGATATTGAATATAGTTCCCTGTGCTATAGAGAAGTAATTTGTTTTTTACCTATTTTTTATATATAGTAGTTAATATTTGCAAATCTTGAACTCCCAGTTTATCCCTTCTCACTCTCTTTCCCCCTGCTAACCATAGATTGTTTACTATGTCTGTGAGTCTGTTTCTGTTTTGTAGATGAGTTCATTAGAGTCTTCTTTCTTCTTTTCTTTGGATTCCACATATGAGTGATATCACATGGTATTTTTCTTTCTCTTTCTGGCTTTCTTCACTTAGAATGACAATCTCCAGTTCCATCCAGGTTGCTGCAAATAGCATTATTTTATTCTTTTTTATGTTTGAGAAGTATTCCATTGTATAAATATACCACAGCTTCTTTATCTAGTCATCGGTCAATGGACATTAAGATTGTTTCCGTGTCTTGACTATTGTACGTAATGCTGCTATAAATGTTATGAAAAAACAAAAAAACGACATCTGCTCCTTCACCAGCAAGTCCTGTACTCAGAAAGAAACTGACCTAAGTCTTGGAGAACAACAAGTTCAAGTGGAAGGGCTGAAACTTCTGTTTTCTGTTGTGGCAGTTTCATTTCAGTGGTGACGCAGCCCGCTGCCCAGGAATCCCAGGGTGAAGCAGCAGCAGATGTCTGTCGGTGACAGTGGCTCATGGCCTCCAGACTCATGGCTCTGCATGAAGGGCATCTGCCTGCAACAACTGCTATGGAAGACCGGCAGAGATGAAGCCCACGGTGAGGATAATCTAAAATGCACAGTGAAGGAGGGAGATGACAAGTATCAATTGCAGCCTGAGGTCAATTGGTGTATAGTGGTGAGCATAGCTGCCTTCCATCCAGAAAGTCCTCTCAGTCAGGAGCCCAGGGGCCAGATGGTGAGGCAGCCCCTGAAATGAGCAGACACCTGGAGGCTGCCTCCTGGTCACCCCCAAAGGAAGTCCTACCTTGAGGAGCAATTAGGCAGCACAACTGCACTACATACAATAGTCAAGACACGGAAACAACCTAAATGTCCATTGACCGATGACTAGATAAAGAAGCTGTGGTATATTTCTACAATGGGATACTTCTCAAACATAAAAAAAAATGCCTTCAAGGACTTTTTGGGTGGGCTTCACAATTTGATTTCTCTCTGCACAGTCCTGGTGCCACCCCGTCCCACTCCCAGGTGTTGATTCCTTGTGAACATCTTGCACCCCAACACTTTCTCAGCATTTGTTTCTAGATAACTAGACTTGTGACAGCTCCTGTTGCAGTTTGGAGCCATGACACTGACTGGCTCCATGCACCACCCACCCACCCTCCACTTTTGTCCTGTCCTTTCTAATTTTATTCTGTATGATTGTATTTCTTACTCATAATCGTAGGCTAATTTTTTCTCCTATATCTCTTAGTGTTATTTTCAAGAAACAAATTCAGGGATTCATATGTGTCTTATAAGTTAAGAAATAGAAATCAATTCTGGCCAACTTAAAAAAAAAAAGAAAAAAGAAAAAAAGGAGAGGAAAATTCCAAAGGCTCATGTGCAGCCCACAGAATCCAAGAAAAAGATGATCAGGCTGGATCCAGGAAAGGAAGGAACCTAAGAGCTTCAGAGTGTTTAGGTATGAGAGTTCATAGACCCCCTTTCCCCACAAAGTACTCATCAGTACAATGTCCACCGTAATAATTCTTTATTCTAAGTTTCGGAGTCACAAAAAAGGGAATAGAATTGCCCAGCCTGCTCCTGCTTCAGACCAAGGAAGGCAGAGGAAGCTGTTGGAGGCCCACAGCTGAGGAGAGGCTGCTCCTGTAGAAGGGAGTCACTGAGGCAGCCATTCTATGAGGCATGGGTTGTAACAGATCAACAAGTAGAAAAGGCGAGTTTCAATGACACACTTGGTTGTTAGAACTTTGTTAGCAGAGTTGGCAAAAAGGAAGCCTAGCTTGTGTTTTGCTGTTTCTTTGCCACCGTGGCTCTGCCTGCCCCTCTCTTTTGGATTTGGTAAACTCGCCACAGTCCTCTGGCTTTTTGGATGCCTAGAGCCAGTGACTTCCAGAGACCTGGGGAGCACTCACTGTGGGGAGCTGGGTTTTCCTCTGCTTTCCCTGGAAGACCAGGCTCTGTCAGGTCAGTGAGTGAAGGGCAGCTACAGCCATGGTCATCTCCTCCGGAGTGCCCACTGTGGAAATGACTCTGAGAATCTCGGACCTTATGTTTCAGGTAACTTTGGTGGAGGAATGCATCTTCTCCAGTGAGATCTCCGTTGTTTCAGGAATCATTGCATCTCTGAAGAGACATTGACGAGCTGTGTGATGTTATGAATCCAAAGCAAGTAACCACGACAGAGTTCTCTTTTGCCTTAGTGGCTAGGAAAGTCCAGTCCATAATAATTCCCCCAGTGTAGAAGTGCATTCAGCTTGGCATTTACTAACACCAGCTCTCCGTTCTCTTCCCGGGGACTCCTTTTTGTTCTATGTTTAAATGTCCTACTGTGCCTTTGTGCTACATGTCAGAAGAGTGAGCTGGCCCAAGTCCTTCTGGAAGCACAGAGTATATAAATCTCTAAAAAAAAAAAAAAGATAAGCTGTCTTCCCTCCTCCTATCTCCAAAATAGAAAATAGCCACAGTGGTTTATTTCGGAGATAAGAAAACTCAAATGTTTTGATGAAAGAGAAGTGGCCAAATTGAAGATAACTGCCAGGCCTTGCACAGAACGAGATCAACATCTCTAGATAGCACACAGGCTCTCAGCATCAGGAAGGAAATGTTCGAAACCCACAGCCTTTGCCAGCGTTGCCTCTGGGACCACCTGACATAATGGGGTGCCCATGTCTCCTCTCTGTTCTTTTAAATCAGCTGAGCAAAAGACTTGTCAGTGCATATTCTGCATTCGCCTCATTATGTTTGACAGTTAAGTCTCTGAAACAGGGATATTTTTTGGCTAATTATCCCCTTTGGCAGAAATGGGAGTTGTATTGATATATAATTTTTTTTTTTCTGATAAAAGATTTTCTTTTTTAGGCATATAATTTTCAAAGGAAATGGTGACTTGTGTTTCCCTTTTTTGGACCGTTAACATATTTGGGTGGATGGCCAGTGTTAAGGGGGCTGTCATTCAGGTTGCTCCCATGCCATCTGCCCCAGGGCCTCCCTGATGTGCTCCCCGGTCATAAAGTTCACCTGTCCTCCTAAGTAACCGTCTTGTAAATGACAAGGTGTGGGGCTGGGGAGAAAGTTCCTAGTTCTCTGCGGGTGTAAGCAGTTGACTCCTGACTCCCCGAGGGGAGCCCTCCAAAGATCCCTGAGGGTATGAATTGTTGAAATCAAAAGCACACTGAAGCAGGAGGGGAGCTGGTGCACAAAGACAGTAAAAGGGATCCAAGAGGATCTGAATGGAACATTGGCATCCATCAGTCTATCCCTTTCACTGTCGGATCCACTCACATCAACAAGTTCATTCCATCCTGCCATAAATTCTCTGAGATGGCATTTGGGCATAATTCCTGGGGGAAATCTTAACAGGTGAAGGGTTAATAGGTGTGATAATCTGCTAGGGCTGCCTTAACAAAGAGTGGGTGGCTTAAATGACAGAAATTTATCTCCTCATGGTTCTGGGGGCTGAACACCTGAGATCAAGGTGTTGGCCAGGTTGGTTCATCTGAGGCGTCTCTCCTTGGCTTGTCTCACCTTCTTGCTGTGGTCTTTCCTCTGTGCACACATCCCTGGTGCCTCCGTGTGTCCTAATCTCCTCTTCTTATAAGGACACCAGCGATGTTGAATCATGACCTACCCTAATGACCTCACTTTAACTTAATTACCCCTTTAAAGAGCCTCTCCCCAAATACAGCCAAATTCTGAACTACTGGTGTCAACATGCAAAGTTGGGAGGGTGGATACAGTTCAGCCCAAAACAGTGGGACAAGCTACTGCCGTCGGTCTCCTGATGCAGATGTTCACAGGGCTGTAAGTGACATGAATCATTCCCCCAATCTGCCACCCATTCCAGATGCCCTTCACCGTGGCTAACACTTGTGCTGGTCCAGACAGCTTGCCTAGATCACCTGGTTGGGTGATTTTTCATCCTGAGAGATCTGAGCCCTTGTGATCACAGCCTTGTCCGGCCATGGTTGCTTTAATGGCCTATTTACAGTGAAAGCTGGGCATGAAAACATCAGGATACAGCCTCGTGAACACCTGTTTTTAGGCTTTCAGAACTTAAGTTTGTCTCCAGTGGGAGACCAGCAGTGATGGTGAGTGGGGTCACTTCTATTTCTACTCCTTGGTTGCCAGACTCTTTTCTTCTAAATACAGAGGACACAGAGCCATTTAAGGGCCACTGGCTCAAGATGTGCAACCCATCCTGAAGGGTGGTACATCAGTGTTATAGGATGTCATCTCCAGGCTGGTGTCTCAGATGCACCTTATGTGACTATCCATCACTCTACCAGGACTGGCAGCATGCAGTACACTATGGTTTAGGACCACTGAATGCCAGAGGTAGTGGTTGTTGCAAGTCCTTTGCTGACAAGCTGGTCCCTTGTTTCAAGGTGATGTTACATGAGATCACCTTCTGGTAACTGGACGTTATGGTACTATATTAGCATTGACTCATGCTGCTACAGGTTGGATACGCAGCAATGGCAGTGGCTAGATCAGCTTTGGTGAGAGGGAGCTCTTGGTGTTAGGCCCACGCATAACCTTGATCTGTTACCCTGTGAACTCTCCTATTGGAGATTGCCAGACACTCGGTTCAGATCTAACACCATGGGATGTGCTGGCCCTATCACAGAGTTCCTTTTGCATTCAAAATTGTCATATTTCTGGGTCTGCTGATCAATGAGTTGGAGCAGAGGTCTTAAGTTTGGTACATGTTACCTCAAAATCTAAGGAGGCCTATTCTTAGCAGTGCCTCTTTTTTAGCAGTGGGAAGTAAAAGATGCAATGCTTGTTCCTTATCTTGAAGGAGAAACGTTCTGGCATGCTCCAGACCAATGAACCCCAAAGCTTCACCAGTGTGACAGGTCCCTGAAACTTTCTCTGGGTTGTGTGTTTTATTAGGACATCTAGAGTATTTTTGTGTTGGGAAAACTGCTTGAGTGGGTGCATGTGTGCGTGTGGACGGAGGTACCTGTGTGTGTAACAAGGTGAGGAGAATGAAAGGCGCTGGATGTGATGGAAACACTAGGCAGATGCAGCCACACTCAGGAGCGTCCTCATGTTGCCTCGCCTACTGCTCTACCCTCACTGGGCTCTTGAGTGGACAGGGTGGCACTTTATCATCCGTTATTTCTCCAGCCCCTGGGACAGGGCCTGGCACAATCTCAGAAATCAATACATGCGCATGGACTGAAGGAAGTGGTCAGGATTGTAGAAATGTAATAGAGTCAAGAGATCTTCCAGTTTAAATCCACAGTTTGCAGATAGAAAAGTGCAGCAGCCAGTAGAGGGTGTCTGACCCACCACAGCTGTTGATGGCCTATCAGGCATTGAACTTAGATTTTCTAACTCTGACTTCAGCACTCATTCTGTCTCCTCACACTGCTCTGGGTCTGAAGTTTTTAAAAAGTATTTTGTAAAGTTGTTAATCAGATAACATGTAATATAATGAGGTTTTACTTTTGCTTAATCCTCTGAGCCTAGAATTTGAGAAATTTTAAGCCATTGAAAACAAGTGCAATATTTAAAACTACCCATTTTCTTCTAACAAAGACATTTCCTTAGGGAAGAATGCTAGCAATAGTAGTGTAGTCTACCTGAAATTGTTTCCTGGTAATGTCACATACTGCTTCTTAATCCCTGAAAGGTGTATTATTAGATCTGGAATAGCTTGACATTAGCAATTTTCTGTGACCCACTTTTATATAAAAGATGTTTGAGGTTGAAGAAAGAAACAGACATATATAATTAAAGAAATTTCTATTAATGGAAAAAAGGAGATTTGAACTTCTTCATACTAAGGGAATTGCAAAACAAAATGAGACGATGTGAAGTATTCTAAAGAAGAAAGCTGAATATAAATCAAAATTACCTGAAAGATATTTCATGCTTTTCTGTCTTCGATTCTGCTTAGTGGAGTGACTTTAAATCATGGTCCAGTAGTATTTTTGCTGAAATAAGTGTTATCTTTATTCAGATGTGAAAGAGTGATTAATTGTATGTGTGTGTGTGTGTGTGTGTGTGAGAGAGAGAGAGACAGAGACAGAGACAGAGAGAGAGAGAGAGAGACTGAAGATTGGAGTGAAATTTTATTTCAGGAGTTTTCTTTGAAAAAAATGTTAATACACTTAGGAGAAGTATGATGTTGAATTCTGGCCAGCAAATCACTGTGTGACATTGTGAATATAACTACACCCCAAAACATTAAATTTAAGGACTGAAACAAAAAAGACCCAAAATACTAACACTTAGACTTTTTAGCATTTATGCATTAGAGTCTATACAGTATAGATATTCTCTTGGAGTATTTATTATTGCAGTTAACTAGTTACAAATAACCTGATTCTGATCCAAAAATATAAAAGATGAAAATAATAGTAAAATTATTTTTCTAAGAAATATAATGGTTATAGCTCCTGGGCAT